AAATTCTGATATGAAGTCGGCAATAGCCTGCCCTTTTATCGCTGCTTTCGGTCTGTACTTCAGATCAAACTGGCTTAATTCCATGGCCCATTTAAGTAATTTACCCGACGCCTCTGGCTTCTGGAGGACCTGCCTGAGTGGATAATTATTCATTATGTGGATCGTATGGGCGTGGAAGTAAGGTCGCAGCTTTTTGGAAGCGATTAGTAGGGCATAGGCTAACCGTTCTATTTCTGGATACCGCATCTTGACATCCAACAAACGCTTGCTCGTGTAATACACTGGCCATTGGACTTTCTCCTCTTCCCGAACTAAGGCTGCACTGACCGCGAACTGAGAGACGGATAGGTACAGGAGGAGGATCTCTTGCGGGAGAGGCTTGGACAGGAGAGGTGGCTTCCCGAGGTGTTCTTTAATACTTTGGAACGCATGTTTGCACTCGGTAGTCCACTCGAAGTTTTTATTGGCCTTCAGAACATTGAAGAATGGCAAACAGCGATCTGTTAACCTCGATATGAAGCGACTTAGCACCGCTATTCGCCCATTAAGGCTCATAACCTGTTTTTTGCTGGTCGGGCTTGCCATATCGAGGAAAGCTTGAATTTTCCCAGGGTTGATCTCTATTCCCCGTTGGTTAACTATGTATCCTAGGAATTTTCCCGAGGATACTCTGAACGAGCACTTGAGGGGGTTTAGCTTCATTCTGTATAGTTGGAGGATATCAAACATCCTGGCGAGATGCACTATGTGATCTGAAGCGATATGGAATTTGACCAGCATGTCATCTACATAGACCTCCATTGACTTACCGATCTGTTCTAAGAACATCCGGTTAACCAACCGCTGGTAGGTCGCGCCAGTTTTTGATGTCGAAGGGCATAACTCTGTAGCAGTACAGTCCTTGATCTGTAACAAAGGATGTATGCTCTTCGTCCGACGCATACATCAGAATTTGATTATATCCCGAGTATGCGTCCATAAAACTTAGCAGCTCGTGCCCCGAGGTGGCATCCATGAGCTGGTTGATTCTAGGCAAGGGAAAGCTATCTTTTGGGCATGTTTTGTTGAGGTCGGGGAAGTCGACACAGGTTCGCCATTTGCCATTGGGCTTCTTTACCAGAACAGGGTTGGCAACCCAGGTCGAGTAGAGTGCTTCTCGGATGGACCCGTTTCGAAGGAGGTTATCCACCTCTAGCTTTAAGGCGGCGTATCACTCCGGATCCATTGCTCTTCTTTTTTGGCGAACTGGCTTGGCTTCACTGTCGATGTTCAACGCATGGCAAATGATATCCGAGTTGATCCCGACCATATCTACGTGTGACCAGGCGAACACATCGATATTTTCCTTGAGGAAGCTGATCAGCTCGAAGGCAAGCTAGGGGTTGAGATTGCTCCCAATCCTTAACACTCGGCTTGGTTCGCTTAGGTCGACTGACACTTCGGACTGATCCTTAACTGGCCCACTAGAAGGGCTTTCCTGAATTCGAGGATCCATATTATCCTTGGCTGGACCAGGCTATGGCTCGATCCAGCTGATCGCCATAGCCTGTCGAGGAATGCCACGCGAGATACCCTTCCCTTTGTATGCCATTTGTACTGCTTTCATATAACAGTCGCGAGATACGTACTAAGATCTGCTGACTTCCCTTATCCCCATCGAGGTGGGGAACTTCATCTTTAGATAGTATATCGAAGTGACTGCCTTGAAGTTTCTTAGTAGAGGTCACCCCAAGATACTATTAAAAACGGACGGGCAATCCACTACCAAGAATTTAGTTACCTTGGTCACCTCGTCAAAGTCACCCAGTGTGACTGGAAGCAAGATCGTTCCTTTGGGGATCAGGTGGTCCTCTGTAAAATCGTATAGAGGGAACGAGGCGGGTTTCAGGTTGGCCTCGTCCAGGTTCATTCTTTCGAAAGTTGTCTGGAACAGGATGTTCACAGCACTTCCGTTATCCATCAACATTCTGTGGGTGTTATGGCTCCCTATCAGAGGTGTGATCACAAGAGCGTCATCGTGGGGATGATGCAGTCAGACTGTATCCTTTTCAGAGAAGGTAATTTCATCCTCCCTGCGAACCTTCTGTGGTCGCCACGATGCGCTCATCACACGGATAGGGTCGTGATGAGCTGCGTAAGCATACCTTTCCTGGGCGCCTCGCGAATTCCCCTTGAAGTGCGGTCCTCCGAAGATCAAATTGAGGTTGCATACCCCTTTACGATCACGTCACTTGTTTCCAGGTTCCCCTTGACTTTTCTCTTGCGTAAGAGTGGAGTCATCAATATATTCCTTGAAATGCCCCTGCTTGATAAGGTCTTCGATTGCCTGCTTGAGAGCTCGGCACTCATCGGTGTGATACCCATTATCCCGATGGTAACGACAGTACTTTTTACTGTTTCTAGCTGACAGGGGATTTTTCATGGGCTCAGGCTCTCCGAGCAGGCTGGCTTCTTCTGATTTGTCAAGAATAGCCGATACATATGCATTCAAAGGTGTATATTGATTTCTGTCACGATCGCGATGAGGAACAGGAGCATAAGACTTTTTGGGCTCATAGTGCAGTTTCTTTCCTTTTCGTTGATCATCAGTAGCCCATCTGCGATCAACTCTCCTGTCCTCTCAACCAGACGCACTATCCGAAGCGTCGTGGTCGTGACGGCGAAACGCCGCCACAGAAATTTCAATATGGGGGTACTTCTCTACAAGGTTATAGAAACAGGTGAGGGAAACATCATCCTCAGCCTGTAACTCTTTCCACAGATCGGTCTGTGGGCGAACTCCCACTACGATGAGAGTCCGAACAGACTCCTCGGGAGTGTGAGCTATCTTGTTAAGCTCTTTATGGAATCGATCAATGTACGATTGGAGGGATTCATCCCCCTCTTGCCTTATGTTGCTGAGGTAGCTCAAAGGCATCAAGAACTTTCGATTTGCTTGGAAATGCCTCAAGATTGTCGCGCTCATTTGAGGACACGAGCTGATCGATTCCGCTGGGAGTGACCTGAACCATCGTTTGGCATGAGAGGTCAAAGTTACTGTCAAACAACGGCATTTTGCTAGATCTGAGACCTGGTGAAGCTCCATCAGGTCGTTGAATTCATATAAATGATCTTGCGGATCAGAATTTCCATCGCACGCTTGCATGTCGGGCATTCTAAATCTTGATGAGAGTGGGGCGACTAACACTACCGGAGAAAAAGGGGACGCAGATGCGACCTACCCCTGCTCGTTTTGCTGAGCTCTTAGCTGGTCTAGAGCTCGCTGCAACTCCTCAATCTGAGGCAGCGGAACTATCTAGGGATTGCTTTCTCCCATGCGAGTCCAACCCTCGCGGTTACGGTTGAGAAAAGTCTGGAGGTTGGATTCTGCTTCACCTTGGCCGGCAGTTTCGACCGCCCTCGACACACGTTGGCTAGAGCCGTGTGATGGCGATGAATGGTGTAGGGAATTGTCACGACCTTCGCGGTGGTACGAACCGCCACGCGAAGTGTGGGAACCTCTCGCATGATGACGATCAGGATCGTTTTAAGAATCGCCCCGCCCAGCACTTTTATGGGGGTGTGCATGCGACGTGGCATGGGACGACTCGGCTTGTGACTTTTCACCGAGTCTTAATGCCACGGGTATTCTACTTGGGACGTGGTCGGTGTTCGTCGGCCCTTTGGAGCCTTTAGGCCCTTTTTTGCCACTTGCTTACCCTTTCGTCGACGCGCTGTAGTGCTCGCGGCACGGGCTATCCCCCTTTGCCGCGCTTTCACTCGACCTGCATGCATTTTTGGCGGTTACATCACCCCAGCTGATTTGGTTGGCACGCCTTGGTCCAAACGGTCCAACCTTCGGTTGATCGTCTAGAGAGTATTGTCGAACCTCTCCAGGTAGCTCCTAATGGCAGGGTCAAGTTTTGAACTTAATAGGATATCCCCCACGGCATTTTGCAGAACTGAAGGTATTTTGGAAGAGGTGTCCTCCTAGACTTGGGGGATCCCCTCAGCACCCTGGTTGGTTCGCTCAGGTTTAGGTTGGCGAGCCATTTGCTATTGTAGGATCAGTAAGTTAGAGATTCTCCTGATGAAGGATGAACACTAAATCAGCCCTCCTTCTAGCGCCAAACTGTTGATGCATGATTTTGACACTAATGAAACGCACGTGTGAAATGTTGAGCTAGCTCAGAAGGCACACGTGAATGTAATAGAAAATGAGAGTAAATGCAATGGGAACAGTTTTTAAAGTGGTTCGGATGCCAAGGAAGCAAGTCCTACGTCCACTGATGTTTGTATTAATGGTAGTGGTCATGTCGCTTTAGCGGACTGACTTACAAAATGATAGTACAAGAGAGAGAATGTTATATATTCTTGAGAGAGAGTAGCTAATCAAAAGTAGAATAATCGAATCCCCCAAATGAGAGAGGAGCCCTCAATTTATAGTGGGATGGATTAAGGTTATCATTACTAAATATGTGAGTTGGTGGGATTATCCATACAAATCTTCCTTTACGTCCCATTGCCCACCTTCCAAAGTAATTTACGCGATTTGGTGCAGGAATTTGGACATGTGGAAGCTTTCCAGCTCCTGACTGGTCTGGCGCGCACCCACTGCATTGACAAGAGCATGCTGCTCCTTTCATCACGTGACTCGGCTGCAGGTATATCCATACTCTGACTTTTGCACGCTGACTGGACCTTACGTCAGCTCTGCATTCTTTAGGCATAACATACTTAATTATCTAATTGATATTTTGAAACAGTCTTCCAAAGTTATTAGAACAAATTAATATAAAACCACTGCCTAATTGCTTGGTACTTGATTTTTTCTGTTTTTATGCATATATTATTCAATTTTCCCTTCATTTTCTGTACGCCAAAATCGCCCTATAAATAGTAGTAACACATTTGACTTCGCGCAAGTGAAGGAACACATGAAATGTTGCTACACCACACAATCAATAAATAAATCCCCATAACTTTTACCCCATTCTCCACCCGAAATCCAAACCAAAATAATGAGTATTAATCTTCTTCTTCTTTGCCTCCCTCTCTTTACCAGTTTCTCGCCATGCAATTGCCATTCCAAGCCCAAAGACAAAAATAATGCCTCTAAAATCAAAGGGATGTTTGTGTTTGGAAGCTCTCTAGTTTCCAATGGCAACAACAATTTCTTCCCATCACAGTCTCAACTAAACCACCTTCCATATGGAATAGACTTTCGCAGTGGACCTACTGGTAGAGCCACAAATGGAAAAAATGTAATCGATTTTTTCGCTGACAATCTTAAGCTTCCTCCTTTCTGTCCCCCACCATTTTCTGACCCTTCGACGAAGGGACCCCAATTGGTTCATGGTGTCAACTTTGCTTCTGCAGGCTCCGGTATAATTGATGATACTTCGCCATATGCGGTATGGATAACTCTTTTGTGTAATACGAAGCCTGTTTGGTTAAACATATGGCCAAAAGAGCTTATTTACGCACTTTTAAAATTTTTTAGATACATTTTCTTGATCAAACAAATAACAGATTTTTCATAAAAAAGTTCTACTCTTATAAGCTCTTCTCTCATAAGCTTTTTTTTCTTTCTATAAACTATATTTGAAGAAGCTGTACCAAACGGATCCTTAATTGCATTTCAATAGTTCTTATAGAAATTTAAATAAGTTATTTTATTTATGGCTTGTAGGAGAAATAACTTATTTAAAGTTGCAATTTCAAAAACATCAATATTTTATTTTATAAATTTGACTTGTATTAGAAAATTCTTTTACATTTTTTAACCAAACAATTAACAATTTTTTTTTTCATAAAACCTATGCTTTTATAAGCTATATTCTAATAAGCTCTTCTTGTATAAATTACTCAAATAAGCCGTATCAAATAGATCCACAATCTTTTTTATATACCTAAAGCATAGATATTTAACAAAAAGAGAATATTAATTTCGTATACTGGTAAGCATCAATCGTCTTTTAATTTCAGACCAATGCAACAAATCTAAATACTCAAATCGACAACTTTGAGAAGGTGACTTTACCGGCATTAGAAGTTCAACTGGGTAGCAAAAGATCAGATTTTCTGCCAAACTACTTGTTTGTTGTGGGAACTGGAGGGAATGATTACTTATTCAACTATTTTACGCCCAAGTTTATATTCAAGAATGCAACTGATCTCAATCCCGAAGTCTTTGCCGAGAATCTTGCCAACTTACTTTACCAGAAACTCCATGTAAGTGCATGTAATTCAAACCCTAAAAACTTAAATTGCATCATTGTGAGTCGTTATTTGAGTTTTTTGAGACCGGATACATTGACTTGTATCCCGGTTTCGACTTTATTAATTACAATTGACAAAGGATTTAAGAGATAATACATTTATTGATGCAGAAGTTATACAGTTTAGGAGGACGAAAATTTTTGTTGATCTCAATATATCCAATGGGTTGCATTCCACAAGTTAGGTTTTTTCTGCCTCTAGAAAAAGGTTGCTTCGGTATTCTGAACATAGATGTACAGCTCTTCAATGCTCGGATGAGGCAAATTGTGGATGACTCTAGGACACAAATGCCTGGTTCTACTTTTGTTTTTGTTAATTCATACAAGATACTCTATGACATCATCAAGGATTATGCCTCACAAGGTAAATTTAATTACTTTCTCTCTTAATCTCATCAATAATAACGTCTCTAAGATGTATTTGTTTCTCATATATTTATAAAAGATTTACATTTTCAATTTTTATAATGGTATATAGGGTTTGAAGATGAGAGAAATGCTTGTTGCGAAACGGAGGGAGGTAAATGCAGAAAAGATGGCGAGGTTTGCGATAAAAGGGACAAATACGTATTCTTTGATGGGTTGCATCCAACAGAAGCTACAAACAAGATCATTGCAACCAAGGCTTTTAATTCATTTCATAAAAATGAAGTTTTTTCCCATTAATGGCAACCAACTAGCTCAATCTTAATTTATTCTATATTTCTTAAATAATAAAATTAATCTTTATCAACTTCTCAATTTAATTCATTACTATGTGAAAATCAACTGTATTTTTATATTTCTAAGTACTAGTTAATTAAGCTAGTAATATTTCTTGAGATTGTACAAGGATTCTTGAGATAGCGCATCCGAGTTAGGGTTAGATCAGGGATTTGGTTCGAGTTTAATACCCAATTTTTTATTGTTTATTTTTTGCTTGACAATATTCATTTTTTTTTTTTACCATTTATTTTATTTTTCTTGGAAACATAATTAATAAAATGAAATGCATACTTGAATTATATCGTGTGATGAATTTCACAATACAAAGACAAATTCTAGTTATCTCAACCAATATTAAGGGTGAGTTTAGTTCAGGGAATGTTGGATTACTAGAAATGTTAGATTACTGGAATCTTATATTACCTTGAAAATTACTGAGAATCTTTAGGAAAATGTGTTTTGTTAGTTGGTGGGTATATATATTAATATGTTTGGTTAGGGGAAATAAATTCATGGGTATGCTATTTAAATTACTAAATTACCCTCTTTTTAAATATTAATATAATATTATTTTTATTATTAATTTTTGAATAATTTCTTTTAAGCCCCAATATTTCAGATTTAGCTAAAACATCCGTGCTTATATAAAACTTTAATTTATGACAAAATCACCCCCACCCCCTGCCGCCGCCTGTCGCCACTGCAAACCATCATCGGAAGTCTCTGAAAGTCACCATGAGTAGCTCACCGTGAACAAGAGGCTCCGATATGGCCGTTTATGGCCATATTGATGGCCAAAAATGGCCATATCAGGTCAAATCTCGCCTAGATCTGGCCAATAAAGACCAAGAGTCTGGCCGATAAAGGCCAAGGGTCTGGCCGTTAATGGCCAGACCCATCAATCTGGCCGGAAATGGCCAAAATAGATCTGGCCATTTCCGACCAGATCTACTCCCGACATGGCCTTTTTAGCCATCAATATGGCCAGAAACGGCCATATCAGGGCCTCCCGATCACAATGGGTTGCTCACGGCGACTCCAGATGACTTTCAACGACTTCCAGCGGTAGCCGGCGGTGGTTTGGATGGCGATAGGCTGCAGCAGGTGGGTGGGGGTGGTGGCTTGGGTTAGCTGAAATTTGTTTTGATTTCAAGGGTAATTTGTCCAAAAAGTTAATTAATTGAGGTCAAATGGTAAAAGCAAGATTCATGTAAATAAATTTAAAAATAAGGGCATTATTGTCCTAAAATTTTATTAACAAGGGATAGAATATTAACAAAAAAATATTACCCAAGTAATCTTACAATACCTAAGCAAATTGAGATAATCAGATTACCTTAAATACTACCAAGTACCAACAGTAGCCACTATTGGTATTTGAAAGTTACCGGAATCTTATATTAATTTACAAACCAAGCATGGTAATCAAGTAATATAAGATGACTTAACTCTAGTAATCTCACATAACCCCTAACGAAACACTCCCGAAGGGAATTTGTACTTGATATATTCATTATTCATATAAATCCTACAATTTATAGTGGTATTAAATGTAAGCCCAACATAGACCCACAATGGGCTTCATATAAAATTATAATCGTATAAAATTAGCTAATGGATTATAATTTATATGCCTAATCAACGATATTATTTGATAAAACCTTTTTCAAAACATAAAACAGTGAAAGAAAATACAAAAGATATTGAACATAAAATAGCACCCATCAAGGATATCAAATTTTGGAAATAGAATTTATTGATGAGTTTTAGTTTTATCGATTGCTAGTTACTCAAAATTTCTAGCTCTATCACGCCCTATGTAATGTTTCAATAACCATAAAATATGAACATATACTTTACCTGAAGGGTGCGTTTGGTTCAGAAAATATTGGGTTACTAGGAATGGATTACTGGAAAGTTAGATTACCTTGAAGATTACTAAAAATCTTTAGGAAAATATGTTTGGTTAGTTGGTATAAATTAGTGGTATGTTTTATTAATATGTTTGGTTTGGAGGAATAAATTGTAGGTATGTTATTTAAATTACTGAATTGTCCTCTAATTAAATATTATTATTATATTATTTTTTAATATTGATTATTATTTGGATTATATAACCCCCCTGCATTTAAAAACTTAACAAAAACAACCCCATAATAAAAGTTTGGAAAATCAACAAAGCACCCCCACAACCTAGCCACTGCCGGCCACCAGAAACCATTGCCGACAGCCGGCAACCTAACGACGCACGGAAGGAAGGAGATTGCCTCTGTGCGCCATATGGCTATTTCCTGCCAGAGATCAATCTGGCCATTTCCGACCATATATCTGGCCAAAAATGACCATATTGGCTCACGGTGGCCATTTCCAACCTTCCGTGCGCCTTTCCGATGGCGGCAGTGGTGGTTGCCGACGGCAGGTGGGTAAGGGTGGTAGCTTGGGTGGGCTGTAATTTGTTTTGAATTCAAAGGTAATTTTGTCCAAAAAGTTAATTAATTGGAGTCCAAAATTAATTAATTGGAGTGAAATAGTAAAAACAACATTCATGCAAATAAATTTAAAAATAAGGGTATTATTGTCCTAAAATTTTATTAATAAGAGATAGAATTGTAACAAAAACAAAAAAAAAGATTACCCTGGTAATCTTACAATACCTAAGAAAATGAAGGTAATCAAATTGCCTCCAATATTACCAACAGTAACTACTATTGGTATTTGAAGATTACCGAAATCTTATATTACTTAACAACCAAACGTGGTAATCAAGTAATATAAAATGACATAACCCCAGTAATCCCACATTACCCCCAACCAAATGCCCCCAAAAAATGTTATAATATTACTTTATGAATAACTTTGTTTCATGCTAAAACTTTTGAACATGTAAAACTATCAATAATATTGTTATCTCATTTGAATTATTGGATTATGTTCTAATGAATCCAGCATCAAAGGATTCATAAAGGTGACATTAGCCACAAAGGCAGACTTGAGTATATATATACTTGGTCATTATTACTCTCACAAAAGTTTTTAAATTTTATATTTGTATATGGGCTTATTTCCAATGTTCTAAAACTCGGATCGGACTGATCGGTCAGACCGGGAATCGACAACCTCTTCAGTCTGAATCAAGTTTCTGTAGGGAGGGGGGGTTTGCTAGATTTCAAACTTGTAGGAACTAATTCGTAATTTTGTAAGGGTGTTTTTCAATATTTCTGAACTTCTGGGACTAATTTAATTTTTGGGGGCATTTTGCAATATCTTAAAATTTTAGAGACTAGTTGATATTTTTAGGGGTATTTTGCAATATCTTAAAATTTTAGGAACTAATACAGGCTGTTCACTAGGTCAAGGCCCAGTCTGATTTTCTGAACCTTGCTCATTTCATATGCATATATACATATAAAAACAGTTAATAATATACTATTCTTAAAAGGTATCCATATGTATTTCATCGCTCAAAAATTTGGTCCTTTCTCAATTTCTTAAGAATTCATTTTTCCTTCTGCCTTTGTCAAACGTTACGCAACGAGCCTCCAAATTAAGTTGGTAAGGTTACCTGGCTAGTATTGCAGGCCATCTATAAGATTTTACTTAGGGTTCACTTGGAAGTTTCATGGTAGCAGTTATGAGGGTAAATCACTATAGCAGTTTTGAGGGTGTAAACCGCTATAGTAGTTTTAAGGGATTTTTAGTAGTGGTTTTTAAAACACCCAACCTATACTTGAGAGTTTATTTTCCAGCGGTTCTGACAGTTTTTTAAAATGATAAATTTATATATATGCCCATAAAAATATCCCAACTTCAACCAATACTTGAGAGTTTCATTTTTTCAATTATAAGGTAAAGATTCTTTATTTGTTTTCTACTTATTAGTGTTTTATAACTTCAAATGTGATAAAGTCTCCTTATCCTTCTTCGCCATTCTTTGCAGCATCTGGAATGATTGAAAAATTGTAGCTCCACTTCTCCAAGAAAGCATAAAGAAATGAGATTTTAATAATTTTTTCTATGATTGCTTAAAATTATTTCATATTTAATATGGTTGGAGACGCGTATAATATGGTTAAAAAATTTGTTTGGATGTAGTTGGGATAGTTTTGTAGTGGATAGGGTATTAATGGAATAAAATTTTAAAATCAATCAAAACACCCCAATTTGAGGGTTTTTATAAACCCTTCAAAAATACACTACACTAGTTCTATGAAGTTTTTGAGTAAGTTAAAACCTGTGTATATAAAATCTAACAAATAATAATTTTAGAACGCCTCAAAATCCAGCGGAAAAACGATAAAACATCCCAGCAGACCCTTAAACAAAAATTTTCATTTTCTGTTCCTTACCTTTACAGCAACCAGGGAGACGCCTAAGACTAGAGGTGGGCATTTGGGACTGGGCCCAAAAGCCCAGCCCCAAAACCCGGTCCTAGGACTAGTCCTAGGAGACCTAGTCCTAAAACGGGACCAGGCCTAAGGAGGAGGGCCCGAGCCCTCCACTAGGCCATCCTCCGGTCCCAAGCTCGGGCCCAATTTTTTTTTCAATATAGTCCCTGTCAAATTACATAAAACCCCATGTTAATTTTAAAATAAACATAAAATATGATGGCTAAAATAAAATTTTACAAACTTTATTTAAAAAAAAAAAAGTTTTAAAATAACCGTTGGCTACTGCAGGCCTGCAGCAGCCAACGGCTATATTTTTATTTTTAACTGTTGGCTGGCAACAGTCATAGCCAACGATTATAAGTTATAATATAAATTATAACTTTTTTTTTTTCATTCCCCCCGCCCCCCCTCCAACAACTACACTATAAATAACCCTAAAATCTTTCATTTTTTCTACACCAATCAATTTTTCATTCTTTCAATCTCTCTACTCCAAATCTCCAATCAATTTCTCATTCAATTTATATTTATATTTATAATTTATTCATATTATTTATTTGTATTATTCAATTTTTTTCTATTTTTCAATATCATCATAATTTCATATTATTATTTAATTTCTTTTCATTTTAATTATTTATCATTTTATCATAAATTTATAATGGCTTCCCCAAATCAATTTTACGTTCCATCCATCGAAGAAATGGAAGGCTTCAATCCATTTTCACAATTTCCTCCAGAGGACAACCACATTCGGTCGAGACGAGGTGTAGCCAAACACATGAGAGCTGCGAGTCAACGGGCACGGGCATAGCCCAACCCCCCCGACCATCAAAGAGGGTATTGTCCGATGTATAGCGATACTTCACCAAATCAATAGGGCCAAAGACAAATGAGGAGGGGGAAGAATCGTGTGGGATATGTAATTTTTGTGGAACCATTACTGGCGCTGAGAAGGGGACTTCGACGATACGACGACACTGGAGAAGAAACACCCCTAAATAATGCAGTTGCCCGATGCATCTTCAAGGGGACTAGGTAGACAAATTCAAACTCAACTTAATTTTAATCCACAATCCTCAACTCTCTCAACATGTCAATACAATGCATATGTTGCACGAATAGCAAGATATATAATTGCTATGGACTCTCCCATTTGTTTATTTGAAAATCCTTTTTTTATTCATATGGTTAAAACTGCATTTTGTTCAGCATACACCGCTGTTAGTAGAAGTACAAGTAGAAGAGATATACTAAAACTTTATAACAAAATAAATAATAAACTTAAAAACGAATTTCAAAATTTTAGGAATATATCTATTGCACTTACATCAGATATATGGGCTTGTATATCAAAAACCGATTTTTTAACTGTCACAGTACATTTCTTAGATCATAATTGGGGTTTACAACAAAAATTGATAGGTTTTAAACCATTATATGAAAAACATAGTGCTGAAACTATTTATTTTACAATTCTTGAAGTTTTGCAAGAATATTTATCAACTGATAGAGTTGTAGTGCTAACGCTTGATAATGCAGCTGCTAACACTGCGGCAATCTCTTTATTTGAAAAGAAATTGGATCCACGTGGTGAAGGCAAATTTTTTCACTAGAGATGTGTTTGCCGCATCATCAATTTGATAGTTAAAGCAGGTTTAGATGCTATACATTCGAAAATGGAGAGGGTGCGCAGAGCTATCAGATTTATCGTCAGCGATAGCAATAAAAGATGGCAGGAGTACGTCAACTATTATAAGCAAGAGGACCCACCGTTTCGACCTTTGAAGTTATGTACAGACATGTCTATCCATTGGGAACTCCACCTACCTGATGTTGGAAAAAGTTTTGCCAACGCGAAACAAATTACAGATTTCGTCAACCGAAAGAACCGTCCAAAGGAAGTTGTCAGCTATGATGATTGGGCAGTTTGTGAACTTTTTTATTCATTTCTTCAATTTTTTTATAATGCTACTAATACATTAAGTGGTATTTATTATCGAACTACTAATTTAGTGTTAGATATTTTACTTCAAATTTCTAAAACTTTTGCTCAATATAGATCTAATAACATTTTAAGTGAAATTGTTTCAAAGATGGAAGAAAAATATGAGAGATATTGGTTAGATATTCCCTTCTTATATAGATTAGGTCTTGTTCTAGATCCTAGGTTTAAATTACATGTAGTTAACTGTATAATTACTAAGATATGCCATCATTTAGGACATGATTATACATCTTATTTGACTAACTTTAAACAAAAATTGGATAGCCTTTTTTCTTTATATGAGAATAGGTACAGTGGAAGTGGAAGTGAAACGTTCAGGAGAGAGGATCCGAACCTTAATGTAGCCCTCCGTCAAGGATCAAGCAAGTGGACGTATGTGAAACGTGATGGAAGTAGCAGCTCCAGCTCATACATACATGGACCAAATGAGCTGAATCGTTACCTACAAGTGGACCTGTCCTATATGACGATGAAGGAGCAACATGATATGGATATTCTTCAGTGGTGGAACCAACATGAAAGTCAATTCCCCATTGTAGCCCAAATGGCACGTGACATTTTATCTATGCCGGTTTTTACAATTGTATTCGAGTCAACATTTTCAACGAGTGGTCGAATTGTTGAAGACAGAAGATGTTCTTTAACCGATGAGATAATTAAAGTGATAACGTGTTTATGGGGTTAGTCATGTAGAAAGAAGACTACAACAGCACCCTGAAGATCCCGAACTACTCGAACTCTTTAGGAATAATGATTTAAATGATGTAAATATTGTTGATGATGAAAATGAATAATTTCATTAAAAATAATTATTTAATTGTTTATTTGTGAAATGTGAATGTGTGAAACGTGAATTTATGTTAAAAATTAAAATTAACTATTAATTAATTTATTATTTTTTAAAATTAATTAAATTTTTAAAAACTTACTAATCTACCCTTAAAAAATACTAAAAAACTTTTATAAAATTTCGTTTCGCCCCCAAAATATAAAAAAAGATGGGCGGAGGGGGGGGGGGAATTGTCCAAGCCCACAGGACTAGTCTTAAGGACCGGTTCGGGTCCTTATTTTGCTCATGGGCCTGGGCCGGTCCCAGGCCCATGAGCTATGGGACCAGTCCCAAACGGGCGGCGGGCCCAGGCCTGCTTGGGACCGGTCCCTGCCCACCTCTACCTAGGACAACCAGTCAACGGCAATTTACATATAATAATAATATAAAACATGGCGTCCAAAGCCGGTCACTGCTGACTGGTAGATGGACAAAAAATTCCCAGAAAATAAATAAATAAATAAAAATACAATTAAGAACTCATCGCAACCTTCCTGCAATCTCGATCAATGTCTCCAAGTAGTTAATTTTTATGCAAAACTTGAGTTCACTTCTTGATGAAGCTATTTATTACTTGTTTCACTTGACATGAACACAATTTCACCAGCCATCAATGTGCAATGGCTTATGGCTCCCTCTTGGTTGACTTCAGAACCAACTCTCTCCACCTCTTCTACTTCCACTAATAACTTCAAAGGGTTCATTCTTGCAGTTGCCTCCGGTGTCTTTATTGGTTCCAGCTTTATCATCAAGAAGATTGGCCTCCAACGGGCTGGTGCTTCTGGTCCTCGTGCCAGTAAGTTTATAATTACAAGATTCTTTGTATAGATTTAATGTTCATCAGTGTTTATATTTAGAGTTTTGTCGAAAAATGATTTCTTTATTTGGGTTTTTCAATGTTAAGGAAATATGATTTGTAGCATCAAGTAAATTTGCAGATTCTTAACATGGGAAATTAAAGAATTGTATGTTTTGAAGTCTTTTGTGTTTTGAGTCAGTAGCAAAGTTGATGTTGAGATCTAAATTCAACTTTACTTATTTGAAGTTATTGTAATGGTGGATTTCTTGGTTTGCAATTTCAAGGTACTGGTGGATATGGCTATCTGCTAGAACCACTTTGGTGGGTTGGAATGGTCACTAGTAAGTACCACATTTTTAATCATATTGATGGTTTGTGTCTTCATAATTTTGCAATGTTTTGATGAGATTTGAATTGGGGATTTGCTATTCTTATGGCAGTGATTGTTGGGGAATTTGCGAATTTAGTGGCTTACATTTATGCTCCCGCCGTGCTTGTAACACCACTCGGAGCATTGAGCATAATTGTCAGGTGACTTTAATTTCTATACTTTAAATCTTGGTGAGGCTTGTTTGTTTGTATTGGATCACATTAAAATTGACTTCGATTTAGCATTTCTAGTGATTTAGCTGTGGATTTTGGTCTTCTAAATTTAAATTTGATTCTAAAAATGGTAGTATGTGGAGCAACCAAAGTGTAGATTTCAGGTTTCAGATGAAAAACTTTGATTGTGGTTTTGATTGTATTCATTTCATTTCCAGTGCTATTTTAGCACACTTCTTCTTGAATGAGAAATTGCAGAAAATGGGTCTTCTTGGATGCGTTTTGTGCATAGAAGGGTCTGTATTGATTGTGCTTCATGCCCCTAGCGATCAGAGTCTGAGTTCAGTGGAGCAAGTCTGGGAGTTGGCAACCCAACCAGGTTAACTGTTGAAATAGTCGTTGCTTTGTCATTGTATCTTTTGAAACTTTATATGTTCATTGTTTTATGTTCTTGCTCCAGCTTTTCTCTTGTATGTGGCTTCGACAATAGCTGTCGCATTGGTACTGATCTTGTATTGTGAACCACGCTATGGACAGACAAACATATTGGTTTACCTTGGCATATGTTCTGTAATTGGGTCATTAACGGTTAGTTTTAATGTTTCTTTTTTAACTGAGTGATGCATATTCGATCCCCATGTCCCCTGAATCTATGAACTATGATCCATGGTATATTTGGAGATGAATAACTGATGTCAAGTACACAGTTTGAGTGGAATAGAAGAAACATGTTTCTGAGGCCCGATCTGAAATGAAATGCAATTTCAAAATTACTTATGTAAAGTAATGAAATGATGGATATATATTATGTAACTGTTGTGATAATTTTTGCCATGTTATTTTAGGCAAAAAATCCCTTTGCTCTTTTGATGCATTTGAAGGAGAAAGACAGCTTTGAAATATGACATGTTGCTCTCTTTTTGCAGGTTATGAGTATTAAAGCCATAGGAATTGCAATAGAACTCACACTTGAGGGTTCAAACCAATTGGGACGCTTCCAAACGTGGATATTTCTTATGGTTTCAGTTACGTGTATAATTATTCAGTTGAATTATTTGAACAAGGTTTGGAACAACTACCTCTTTCTTTTTCTCTCAGTCTCTCAGTCTTTGTTTTGATTTGTGATATGAATTTGTTTTCACCAAAGTACAGATAAACACATATCCTAGCAAGCAGAAAAAAATTCAATAATTTTCTTTTGCAGCAAAATTCTACCCTGTTAACTTTAGGTAAAATATAGTCTCCTTTTTTTGTCTCCTAAGTGTTTTCTTGCTTTATGGTAGCTAGGATCTTTAGGATTTTGATTTTTTGGTTTTTCGCATTTTATGATTTCATTGTGTACTGTTGAATGGTTCAACTAGTGGTTGATAAACTTAATTCTAAAGATCATTCTAATGATCTAACACTTAAAAGGAAATTTGGATTTATAAATTTATTGCATTTTACACGGAAGGTATTGGAAACTTTATTGTTCATTTGTCTTGTGTACTTCAAACTGGCTTTTGGTTAATATCTTTTGAGTGCATTAGGATCACAGAATTTTATAAGAGGCAGTATTATGGAGGCATACCATATGCTCAGCCTGATTCTTATCTTGAAATTTGGGATGAGTCTGTGATACAATAAAGCCATTTGCTTTATCCCACCCACGCATTATTTAAAGCTCTTAAAACAGGCAGTATTATATAGACATAATAGCAGGAAGAAGATAAACATGTGATTGGAAGTGATTAAGAAGATCAGATATGCAAGATTTACAATATGTTGGTTGCATCTTTTTACATATTAATTTGTTTTATTATTGTCTAGCCGGGATTTTGGAAATAATGTATATCACTAACCCAGGCTTTGGACACATTCAACACAGCAATTGTTTCTCCAATCTACTATGCTCTATTCACATCGTTTACAATCCTTGCTAGTGCGATAATGTTCAAGGTATCTATGATTCCTGAGCTGGAACTATATGCTTTATCTATTTAAAGTTATAGTGCTACCATTCTTTTATCATTTGTAGGATTGGTCTGGCGAGAGTGCTAGCAGCATTGCTTCTGCACTCTGTGGATTCATTACTGTGCTTTCGGGTACTGTGGTTTTGCATAGTCAAAGAGAACCTGATCTACTTCCTGTTACAGGTTTGACATTATGAACTGTTTGGAAACACACTACATCCTCTCAACCTAGTGTTATCATATCACTGTTTGTATTGGCCTAATGTTCACCACTTAGCAATTAGGCATTACAACAGGCTTGGCAATTATGGATTTCCCTAAAATTAAAAAGTCTAAATAAGTACTGTTTATCGAGTAACATCTTAATAACATAATTATAAAATCATGACGTGTTCATGTTACTTTGTCAAAGTATCATCATTTCTTTATGGCGAAATCTGTTTCCACACCTGATAACATTATTTCTGGATCAAAATTCTAACTCGCCTAAACTCTAATTTTCTCTTCTATTAGCATCATTCGCTGATTTTCTGCTTACTGTTTCAAATTTTGGACATCTCTTGATGTGTAATTCAGTGTAGGATATCTCTTAACCCTCTAACATAGCCCTATAGGTCTAAAATTCCAAACTCAACCCAAGCATGATATCATGTTGCTCAATCGTGCATGTCATGTTGTTAAAGTATTCATGCTGCACTTTACAATGTCCTTCCATGTCATGGTCTGAGAAAATAATTTGTATCGCAGCATAGTACCAACAGAAATGATCCATTTGATACCTCTACACTTGAGGTAATAAGTAGTTAGCATGTGGTTCTACCTTAATCAGTCATAATTTAGAAACCAAAGCCATCCTTACGTATTCAGAGATATTCATACAGTCTTCATTTCTATGTTTTGGTAAAGCCTTCTAACTTATTATGTAGAGGGGACATGGATAAATTCTATTTCTTTTGGAACGACGATTTTTTCAAAGTAAGTATTTGAATAATCTGTGGCCCTATCAAATACATGCAGATATATATTCATCTTTATCCCCTCAAGTATCGTGGCTTATCAAAGCAAATGGCAAAACATGGAAGCAGGAAGTTGATGATGACCTATTTCCAGATTTTGACACAATTCTTAAACATGATCATTTCAAATAAGATGAATGATCTCTTGACACACCCATAGGTTTTTTTTTTCTTTTTCTTTTTAACCTACTAAAAAGTGTACCCACAAGTGGAGAAAGCCAGCAGATGTTATTGTATTTTCTCAAGGTTGAATTATCGAAGGCATTGCTAGAGACTGTTTGATTCCTCGGACAGCTTGAAGTTCAGTGGATCAAAGGCCAATGTTGGTAATAATTTCTTTATATTATAGTTTATGAAAAACAGTTTTTTTGCCACACCTTTTTGTATTATAGATTTTGTAACATTTTGACTATAGCATTGCACTACAGAAGTAGATTATATGAATGCCCCATTTTTTATTTCTTCTGAGTCAATTTCTGCTGCAGGTCCATCTGTTTTGTGTACACAAATGATTGACATCGGTCACCAATTAAGAAAATGTAAGAATAGTTGTGTTTTTGGCTCCTCTGTTTTATAATCTAAGCTTCTTGCTACTGCTGGTGTAATTCTTCTAGTTTGGGCATCTTTATGACATGCTTTATTTTTTAAGAGAATTCAATTTTGCATAAACTATCCCCTGACTTTCATACCATCTCCATTGTTCATCGCTGATTCAATTGCTTATGCAAACGTAATGTACTCTGTCTAACCAGTTTGTTTATGCTGTAAATAATTGGTAGAATACTTGACAAAGGTCATAGATAAAACTGCAAAGAATTCACGGGGCTGGTATTTCGAACAATCTTGCATGGTGCATAAAAGTCACCGTGGCAATTGACAGTCAGAAATCCGATTCTCATTCAGGAAGTAATCAACAGTGCGCAGGACCAGAATTTAACGTGTTACAGAACAAAATCACCCTTGTTTCCCTTAGCTAAGCTTGGCTCAAGAGCCTGTCTTCACATCACCAACCCTTAATCAATCAACATTAGAGAAGAAGGTAGAAATTGGAAGAGGACAAAAGAAACTAACAACTTTGGTTTATATTGGCAGTTCAGTTAGTATTTGAGAAACGACTTACAGGGTATTTCAATTACTTTCTCAAGGCTTAGAGCAGAAAGTTAAAAAGGTGAACAAGACAGTGGATACCATAAAGGAAATGTGACTGTATGATATTCTTTGCAGCAATTTAGCAAGTTTTATGATGAATGACACCAACCAATCTATAATTATCATTACGAAGAGCAATCTTACATATCACGAATGTGATTAGCAAAATCAAGAGAATTGTCCATTGTTAGAAGGTAAAGGTATAAGGTCAAAAATCCTGATTACCAATTTTGTAAGCTTCCAAACATCGAAGCAAATTGCTTAAACTACTGTTAATAACTTCATTTTGGCCATCAATCACGGATAAAAGACAGAAGAAAACTTTAGGATAGGTTGTTTACTTTATCAGATAAGGGTAAAGCAGTGTTTTAACTAAAGATTATCTATCAAAGTCAGTTTTCACAAGCATCATTTAAAATATTAGGTGTATTTGTCATTTTCAAAAACCTCAAGGTGTGTTGCAGTTGTACTTAACCCAAACCTTATTAAAAATGAATTATCTCAATATTTATCCCAAAAAGGCCACACAAAATCCAAAAGTGAAAGATATCTCAATCCTGCACATGATCTTCAGCTGCCTCACTCTAACATTGACACTTGAATTTGGAGTATTACAAATCTAGCTAAACCTTCCCCAAAATTCACAATTTAGACAAGGACAGAGCAGCTACATTTAAATATCTTAATTTAATGCCACTTTGACTTTCTCTTGCAGCCATGAATCCATTTTGTACTCATTGAGACCTCACTGTGTTAGAAAAGGATATTTCACCAAACTTGTCCAGCTACTTTATTTAAGAGGTAAAATTTTGCAACTAAATTATAACATTAATCCTGTAACAGATTACATTTATAAATGATAAGTACAAAAAGGCAAAGATGGGATAAAAATGTTAATTACATAATTTCTTGAGTGAACTGAGAAAGAACTTGTACAGGCGATTCATACATGATGGTACTACACCATATTGATTATACACTATGGATACTCAAACATCGATATCACATTTGAAATTTGAGAAACAACTCTTTCTATGATATACAGATTCAGGGAAGTAGAAACAAAACCAGTCGTTGTGCTAGAAGTGTGAAATGAGCTTCAGTTTGGGTTGGATGGTCGTAGTAGAGATGAAGATGTCCTCTCTAAATTTCTATCTGAAGGTAAAGGCGAAACTCCGATTTGTAATGATGAAGATGAAGAGGGAGCTGGTGCTGAGGCTGAGGCTGAGGCTGCGAAAGTTGAGACAGCACTGAAATTACTGCTCATATTCATGCTGGGTCCGCTTACAGAACCTTCCGTGAATGCCTTGGGTGCTGGTGGCCGCTCAATCTCCATAATTCCTTCTAGCATTTGAACTACTTTCCCCATCATTGGCCTCTGAGATGGTTGCTCTTGGATGCACCAAAAGCTCACCTGAATTGCTCTCATTACTTGCTCTATGTCCACATCTTCAGCTAACCTTTTGTCAACAATGCCCTTGACATTCCCCTTCTCAAACTCTTCATAAGCCCAAAGAGAAAACTTTTTCCGATTAGTTTCTGGTGAGACTTCAAAATTCCTTCTCCCACTCACTATCTCCAACAAAACCATCCCAAAACTATAAACATCAGATTTAGAAGTTATTGGAAGATTTGCCAGCCATTCTGGTGCCAAATATCCTCGTGTACCTCTAACACTTGTCAAAGTTCTGTACCTATGGTCCTTTGGATTTATGAGCTTTGCGAGGCCAAAATCTGACACTTTTGCATTGTAGTTTTCATCCAAGAGGATGTTTTCTGGTTTTATGTCACAGTGAACAATGCAGTCTCGACACTCCTCATGAAGATATGTAATTCCCCTAGCAGTACCAAGAGCAATGTTAAACCTATACTCCCAATTCAACAATTTCCCTGATTGCTCTTCGTTCACAAAAAGGAAGTTATCCAGAGACCCATTTTTCATGAACTCATATACCAGAAGCCTATGCCTTCCTTCAGAACAAAAGCCGACCAATCTCACCAAATTTAAATGATGGGTGCTACTAATAGTAGCAACCTCCATCCTAAACTGTTTTTCGCCTTGCTCAATCCCCTCTAGTTGTTTCACGGCAACAATTGTTTTATTAGCAAGAATCCCTCTATAAACAGCCCCAAAACCTCCAGCACCAAGCTTCTCCTTAAACCCCTTTGTTGAGCGTTCCAGCTCCTTATATGAGAATTGCACAGGTGCACCAGAAGCGTACTCAAGAAGCGCGTATTGGGCTGACAAACCACCAAATTTAGGACTATTTCTGCAGCACCAGTACCACAAACCACCCTCCAATGCAACCAAAACCAAAAGGGTAGCCACGACCACTACTACAACAATCCAAGCACGCAACCTCCAACTTTTTCTATCATCCAAAACCTGCATATTACTTGAAGGGTTTGGTACCACCGGTCCACAAACCTTAACGTATGAAGTACTAGGAAGCGCTGGATTCTCAAACCCACTCACAAAATCTGGCGTTTTCAAGTAACACAACCCTGTCCCATCTGATAATGAAGTAGAAGCAACACAAGATCCGGTAACTAAACAATTCAATCTACAAGCCGATATCCCCACAAAGAAAACCTGAGACGTCAACTCAGGTGCAAACGTCAAGAACTTCGTATGCGGCAACTCCAACATAGTAGCACTCCCAGGACAATCCTCAATCTCCACTTTCCTCTTACACCCTTGCTTACTATCATTAGCATCAACCAACTCAAAATTCTGACTCGGACACCCGCAAACTGGATCCGAACCGGTATCATTGTAACTACAAATACCCATATTTCCACAATACCCAAAAACTTGACACTGATCAGTAACAGCAGCCCATCTTTTAGTAGTAGTCCCACTACCTCTAGCAGAACTATAAATCCTCAAATTCCCATCAGTATCCAACCTCAAAAACCTCAATATATCACTCCCTTCTGCATAATCACTACTATAAGCCACAATAACTGCACTAGGTAACGTTGGATCAACTATAGATAAAATCCCTATAGACTGCAATCTTAAAACCGGCGAAGTTAAATTAGACTCAATGGATGAATTTAAACTATTATTCCAATAAATTATACTATTATTCCATTTCAATGTAAGGTTCCCCGATTGAAGAAGAGTAAAAGAATATTTCCCAGATTCCAAGGCTTTCCTATTAGTAAAATTCTGAGAGGGAACAATAGTATCACTGGGGTTATCAAACGAGGACCAAACTGAAACAGAATTGTTACCAAGCAGCACAAGATTGCCGGAGTCATCAATCGAAGCCGAAGAAACGTTCCGGTTCTCGGTGTTGGAGTCCCAGACGGTTGCGCCGGAGCCGTTGACGAGGCGGAGAGTCCCACTGGAGAGCAAATGGAAGGACCCAGATGAGTCAACGGCGCGTTGACTGGCTTTCCACACCGGAACTCCACCGGCATAACTGATTGCGGCGAAGAACGCCGACGGGCCATCTTGAATGAAAGAGACTGAAAAGGTGCCGTTGGGAGAGGACCAAGACGCGTTCAAGTTTGAGGCGTAGAGGGTCGAGCCCAGCGGAATGGTAGCTGATGAGAAGACGAAGAGAAGGGTTAAAGAGAGAAGTGTTAAAGATAATTGGGAGGTTTCGGGGGGCATTTTGAAAGTGGAAAAGAGTGATTTCAGTTTCAGTTTAGTCTCGGATGTTTGTATGAAGAGAACTGAGAAGTGGGGTTGGGTTTAGAGTTAAAGGGGAAAGAATGAGGAGGATGGAGAAGAAGAAGGAAGGAAGAAGACTCTGACTAATTCAAAGTTTTGATTTTTCTGAGGTTTGATTGGAGTTTGGTGAGCGAAGGAATGGCAGAGTTTTCATTTTCCCTGCCAGTTCTATGTGGGAAATGAGTAAAAGTATGAAACTGGGTTTAGTTTTGGATGATGACATTTTAGTCCCCCGAGGCCGAGGGCCGAGGTTTAACAAGGATACAATTTTGTCAATTTCAATTTTTAATTCAAAGGTTTTAAATATTGTCATGGACCACCCTTGCCAATTTCCAAAATTACCCATAATATTGAATCATTCTTATTGAGAGAAAGACTATCCAATTAAGGTTTCGGTCAACAATTGTCTAGCTCTTGCATTTTAAAATNAATTACCACTATAGTTGCTTAAGTGATTTCGGATCGCTTAAGAGATCTTGACTCTGCCTCGTGCAAGATCGCTTAAGCGATCTGAAATCGCTTAAACGACCAAGAGCAAACTAAAAGAATCTCTTAAGTGATACAAAAGATCACTTATTATATATGTGATTCTGCCTCGACAAGATCGCTTAAGCGACCAAGAGTAAACTGAATCAATTGCTTAAGCGATCATGAGTGCGATCATGAGTAAAACAGATTAATCGCATAAGCGATACAAATGATCGCTTAAGCGACAGTACAAGCAATATTCCCAAAACAACGTACCCTTTCTTCGCCGACCTCCTCCTCGTCGCCTGAATCCTCGGACGACTCCTCCTGGCCTGAATTCTTGTCGGACTCCTCCTCCTGACCTGAATTCTTGCCTGACTCCTTGTCTTCAGAACTGTTTGCCGATTCTTCCCTCTGTTCTTGTGCCGTCGGCGTCTCCTCTGTGTGTGGACCACCTTCATTGATCGGATGATCCACCGGAGCAGCCATTGAACTACTTGTGCCACTGGAATCTAGGATTTGAAGTGGTGTTGGGTTTTTCTCCTCATTGTGAGTGTCAGCCATGGTTTTGGATTGAATTTGGTGTCAAAGTTTGCAGTTTTGATCGGAAATGTGAACTATATCGTCGGAAATCGCACAAATTTCGTTTAGGGTTAAGGAATCGATTTTACGGTTCAACAAATCGATCGGAAATCGAGCCTATATCACCGAAAATAGGGACTGTATTCGGTTTAGGGTTCAAGAAATTGATTTTAGGGTGCAAATTTGTAGGTTCGATCGGAAAAAATTGCGTCTTCCTTTGGTTCAAGAAATCGTTTTTTACCCTAATGAATTTCGATTAGGCGACGTGAATAGGTGGGGCTTCTTTTGAGAAATTTCAAATTTTAAAAACTTTTATTATTTCTTATTCGGCCCACATATGTTTTAATCTTTTCATTTTAACCCATTTTACGTGTTTAATTAATCCTAACTNAATATTGAATCATTCTTATTGAGAGAAAGACTATCCAATTAAGGTTTCGGTCAACAATTGTCTAGGTCTTGCATTTTAAAATACTAGATTTACGCTTCTTGAATTTAACATACGTTAATCGATTAATGGGAATGTTTTTTCTTTTTAAAAACTATAGTACTCTTTATTATGATATGTTACGAGTTTTAAAGTTTGGATTTTGCCCTCTTGCAGTCTGTTTCTCCTTTATATTTGTTATAATTAGGGGGTATACTCAATACCTCGACAATGGACCTGAACCTCATAAGGTAAATGCAATTAACTTACTCTCACTTAAATGCAATTAATTTTATTATCGCTTGACAAACAAACAAAGTGAAAATAAAAGGCTTTATTTGAATTTTTCTTACAATAAATATATATAAGTATGATTCCATTGGTGGTGCATATAACTCACTCTAGCAGCTTTTGAAGCAAAAGTTTGGTCAGTTTTGGTTGTTACAATGGTGAAGAGTTTAACGGTGGTGAAAAAGGGCGACCTCTATCGTTTCCTTAAGAGAAGGTGGTAGTTCAATTAACCTTGGGCCAGATATCTAGTAAAAGCGACCAAGTTTATGGTGATTAGGACAAGATAGAGTGGTTTATTATGTGGAGAAAATAATACAATAATTGACGGCAGTGTACCAAATTTGTATACCGAATGACGTGACAAAATACTGACGGTTGATTAATTTTAATTTAATATTAATCAATAGTCAGAATTTTGTCACGTCATTCGATGCACTACTATCGGTGGCTGTAGCATTATTCTATTATGTGGTGGTGGTGAGACTTAATTAGTTATCAGTGGTGGTGCTCATATAAAAATTTTCATAATTTTGATGGTAAACTCTTTTTTCGAGTTGTTGGTAGCATTAAAAGGGAATGATATTTATAAATTAGTTATCAATAGGCCTTTTTTTTTCTTTTTTTTTTTCATTCAAATTTTACTTTTGATGAAATGACTCTCTTGTCCTCGACATGACGACACATGAACTTTGACCATTACTTGACTCTTGGTTTCATTCGACATGGGGAGGTTTATTGGTGTTTCTTAAACCTTAGGGGGGTAACTGTACTATCATAAAACTTTTGCGAGATACGTAATTTAATTTTTGTTTGTGGCAGAATTTTTAATTTTCTTAAGTGTCTTAGATTTTGTGAATTCCCAACAACATCCTCTTTAACAATTTATTACGTTGTTCTTTAAATATTATATTAATATTACAAATAATACTAAATATGTTACTACGTTCAATATCAAACAACTGAATTTATTATTTTAATATGAATAAATGAATATACTCAATCATTATTATATGATGCCTAATAAACTCTTATTAATTTAATTGCTAGTTTAATGGCTTTCAATAAAAAATAATAGCGTACAAGATGGGAAAACTCATCAATTAATAAATAAAAGTTTCAATTAATAAAAAGGGTTGTAAAATTAGGCATATGAATGTCTATTTCATGAAATTTCCACATTTAATTTGTTTCAAATTGAATCAAATTTGGCTATAAAAACAAACGTCTATGCCTTAAGAATTTTTCAAACCTATTTAAATAAGTCAAAGGTATGATTTCTTTGACATTTGACAAAGTTATAATGAGCCACCATCTACAATTTATACATATAATCTTGAGGTATAGATTATATCATGACTATTTTGAAGTGGTAGAATTTCTTCTGATTGACACATAGGTAAATTGTCAGATATTTGACTGTATTTGGTTGATGATGATTTGAATTATTGATATTTGATTTGATATTATTGATAATGATGTAAGAGTTTGATTTGACTGTATTTGTAGCTTCATGTAATTGATGTTTGATATTATTTATTATTAAGGAGAGATTGACCATAAATATTATCATTTGCATATAGATAAATTTATATGAATACAAGGTGTTATACGTTGTATTGTCTGTTAAATGTTTTGGCATTCAAAAAGTCTAAACAAACTGATACAAAGATTCCCAAAGGTGTTTAAACCATCACATTCGCTTAAATTAAAACGCTTCCAGTCGCCAAAATTTCATTTCTTCTTCGTTCGCAAGCATTGGAGGAGATTTCAAGAAGATTTAGACGTGGACATCGCTTAAAAAGTTATTCTTCCTCAACACCAGCTTAAAGGTACCATTTTTTTTCGCTTAAATCTTTAACTATATTTCGTCCAAACTTCACATCTTTTGTGTTTATGGTTTTTGCAATTAGGTTTGCTAAGAAATGTTGATTTGGGATTGTTTATACTGTTTTTTCTTTGGATCTTGCAAACATTTGGTTGGAATTTTTTTATTAGTTTTCTGGGTGATTTTGTTGTTCATCCGTTTTGTAACAAAGATTTTGGATTCATTTGGATCTAATTTAAGCAGGATTTTTGTTTTTGTTGTTTAAGCATAGTGTTATTGTAAATTAGTGGAGTGTGATTTACTTGGGGAATTTGTTTTGGTGCAGGCTCGCTTCTTCTTTAGTAGCTGATATCTGGAGTTAGCTATTGCCATGCAATGGTAAGCCATAATTTCTATTGTGTATGAACTTTTTATTTTTATTCTTTAGCATTTATGCATATAATAGTTAGATTAATTATTGACTCTATATATCAAAGACCAATTTCAAATGATTAATTATAATTTAGAAAGGCTTTTTATTTCATACGCAGTTGCGAATTCAGGGCAGGTTATTGATTTTATTTGGTTGTCAGGTATCACTTTAATGATGCTATACTAGAAGGTGGAATCCCGTTCAACAGGCCATATGGGATGATGACATTTGAATACCCGGGGACGGATCAGAGGTTCAACTGGGTGTTCAATCAGGCTATGTCCAACCACACTGCCTTGATTATGAAGAAAGTTCTTGACGTTTACAAAGGATTTGAAGGGTTGAAAGTGTTGGTTGATGTTGGCGGTGGAATTGGTGTTACTCTTGATGTCATCACTTCTAAGTATCCTCACATTAAAGGCATTAATTTTGATTTGCCTCATGTATTAGCTGAGGCACCTACGTATTCAGGTGCCAAATTGCTTATTTTATTTGCTCACTACTGATTTTAGCTATAGTCTACATCTTTGAATAAAACAGGATCTTTTGTAATGCATCAATTGGGAGATGGTATGCAATATGGCATTAGTCTGATTACAATCCAGTTGTCAATGCTAATACAAGAATTATCTTGATGTTTGTGCTATGTAAATTGATTCACCAAAAATCATATGTAAATGGGCAGAGAATAAATGTTATGACGAAGCTGAAAGGTTTGTGTTGTGGTGCAGGTGTAAGGCATGTGGGTGGAGATATAAATGGTACATATCATGCATCTGCTGATGAAGAGAAATGATGACAAGAAAGCAGAAAGCTGAAAACAAAACAGATGACAATGGCAATGGCAAGACTAATGGAAAAGTTGGAGAATCTGATGTTATAGATGTGGAGTTTGAAGAATTCTGTAAAGCTATTGAGGCTAATCTATCTATTGAACAAATGGTTGAGGTTCTTCAAGCCAATGACCAATACTCCTCTGCCCAGATCCCGTTGTTGTCACTAAATGGTGAGTTCAATTAGAACATCCACTAATTTACATATTTTTCATCTATATATAAACCATGTATGTGGGTTGGTATCTCAAATAATGTATATTTAACGGAAGCTGAAGAAAGAATTGCTTTTTGCATGTTGAAAAGTTAGTATTATGATTATTATGCTAAAGCGAGGAAGGCAGAAGCTGCACCAATTTAAGTTGACCCAGAAAAAAGTATCAAAGGGAGTTTCAGCAGCATCCAGTGGATCAGCGTCAGAGGCAGAAGCATTTGAATGAGATCCAATTGACCCAGTGGAAATGTGGATACAGCTACATCTAAACTAACGTAAGTCGTTGATTCAGCTCAGTAGTTGAACCCCAGCACCGATTGAACCTGTCCTAGCCAGCATCCCTTTTGTTTTGGTGAGGCGTTCCTGTTTATGTTACGAGAAATGGCTATGTTTTGATAGAGTGCATTGCCTGTTGTTCTTAGCATCCCTTTCTCACAAAAGTCGTGCAATAGTCTTTTAGAAAGGTTTTACCCTTTGGATCTCCATAAACACCATTCACAGACCCCCGTATACTATGCAAAGGCAAAGAGATTCTATATAAAATATTAAATATCTGGGCTGCGTTTGGTTGAAAATTTGGGGGTTTTGGGAAAAGTTTTTTGAAAAAAGTTAAAAAAAAGTTGAATTGGGCGGGTATTACGAGGTAAAATTTATAAATTAATAAAATCTCCTTTATGTTTGTTTTTTTTACAAAATACCCCCTATAATAAAACATTAAAAGTTAACAAAAATACCCCTAACCCACCCTCAAACACCCCCAGCCGGCGACCACCACCGGAGGTGGCCGGAGTCGCCGTATGGGCGCATGACCGGTTGGATCTTGCCGGTCATGCGTCGCTATGGCCTTTTCCGGCCAGATCCACGGTGGATCTGGCCGGAAAAGGCCAGATCTACGGTCAGATCTGGCCGTCAACGGCCAGATCTGGCCGTATTTACTCTCAACGACGGCCAACAAACGGTCGTCGTTGATGGTCAACGACGACCGTTTGTTGGCCGTCGTGACCGAGTGTTACGGCCAAAGATCTGGCCGTCAACGGCCAGATCTTTGGCCTTAGATCTGGCCTTTTCCGGCCAGATCCACCGTGGATCTGGCCGGAAAAGGCTAGATCGGCGCACTGCCGGCCAGATTCAGCCGGTAGTGCGCCATTCTACCAGATTCCGGCCATTTTCCGGTGGTGGTGGCCGGAATCTGATAAATTTGGATTATTGGGGTGTTTTTGTAATTTAAAAAAAAATATTTAGGGGTATTTAATTAAATTATCAAATTTAAAGGGTTTAAAAAAAGTTGAATAATTTTGGGAGTAGTATTCCCAAAAATCTAAAATTTTGGGTAATTTACTGTTTAACTTTTTTGGGAATACTAAAAGTAGTATTCCCAAAAGTTCACCAAACGCAGCCCTGTATATTTATAGATAGTGGAGGGAATCATAATCATTTGCTATGGATCTTGAATATATTTTCAAATGTTTCAACGTATTAAATGGTCTTTATTATGGATTTATTATTGCATGTTTAATGTTTCATATTATTTTCTTCCATGCATAATGACATTTGCTACCATGAACTCAAATTGTATGATCTGATTACTATGTAGATGTTTTTAATGACACTATCTATCACAATCAAAGTCTTCTAGCTGCCCTTTGTCTTTGATTGGCTGTTATATACTTCCTGTTTTTATTTATAATTTCATGCTTAAAATTGGAGGCACTCAAATGTTGTACATTTGAATAGACAATTAAAGCCACCTATTGGAAACGGAAACATCCTGTAGAATTAGGCAAGACTCAGTTTGCAGACAGAAGAAAAAAAAGATCAAAATGATAAAAGGAAAAAGAAAAAAACCCTAACTAATTAGTAACCCAATTGAACCGGTTGGATCATTTGTTTAAAATTAATTGTCTGGTTCACAAAAAAATTACAATTTAATATTAACCCTAAATAAATAATAACCCAATTTAAAAGCAAAACTTTTGGACCGTTCGGTTCAACATTAATTGTCCAGTTCACAAAACATTTCAATCTAATATTACTTATTTGGATTAAATTCGTACATATTGACATGAAATTATATTCTTAATATCTTTAATAGTTATTACTTTAATTATTTATTCAACATTAAATTAAATACTATGATAAATATTTTCTAATCTATTATTTTAGTTAATCTTAAGATACTATTTATATGGTATAATATCCAAATTATATCAGTATATTCTGTAATTTATAATTAACATAATTAGAAGATTCAATGGATATTTTTTATCTATACAATGTAAATAATAAATACAACTATAGTATATATCATCTAATTGAAACATCCCATTATTCAAACAAACAGTGATGTCAAAACTAATTTCATAAGCACCACACGGTCTTTTAACTAGTAAGTTTATATTGCTCTTGAATATTCTAACTTCCGCTTAAATGTTTTTCTTGGCACTGTTAGAACTTTAAAATCTTCCCTTTTTTTTTTTTTTTCAAATGTCAATCAATATATTCAAATACGTTTCAGTATTTGAGATCATTTACGTGCGTTTGTGTAAGGGTATATATGTCATCACAATAGTCAAAATAGTCAAATATCATGGTTAACAAACTATTGGTGGACATGTGGATCCTTTGGGCATATTTGTTATTTTATGTAAGGGGTATATATGTCATTACATTAAACAACATCAATCAAAAGTCACGGTAAGCAATTAAATTCAACTATAGGGAATTGAGTTTGTGAAAACAAAACCATTGGTATTCGCCACAATTTTTGAAAATTTTGGGGTATATTGATTATTTAATTCTACCCTATTTTAGAAGAAGAAAAAAAAAAATCCCCTAAGAGTCCCATTGGGCCAACTGTATACTACAATTAAAGCCCAATGTTAGCCCAATGTATTCAAACAAATGACTACTTGTAACGTTGTTATATGAATTGGAGGTTCGTGGGATGAGTGGTTCATTTGCAATGGCTTCAATTGGCTTTGGTATCTTGTAGGGAGGAAAAAAAATTCATAATTGAGGATAATTTAGGAATGAATGTGTATTTATTCTAAATGGAAGCTAATTAAAGAATTACTAGGGTCTATATTATCACCACTCTAAAATAGAAATACTACTATACCAGTAACCCTTTCTCACAAATTTTCTCTCACAATCCTGACATGACAGTTTGCAATTAGTTAGTTTACAACGGGTCTCACATGAATCTCACTGATTAATTGCAAGTTGATCAATTACAAACTGCTACATTAAGGTTGTGAGAAATAGTTGTTGATGTAGTATTAGTCCTAAAATAATCTCTTATTGCTAGCTCTCACCCTGCCTTTGTACACTTTGTGGTAGAACACCTAAAGCCCAAAGGCTTGTAGGGGGTCTATTCATACAAGAGAAAAAACCACGTTCAAAAAACCCTAATTAAAAATAAATAAAAAAGGAAAACTTTTGGTAATTATACATAATATAATAAAATACCACTAAAAGAAAGGTAACAAAATAAACAAGGACAATAGAAAATTCTATGTACAATATTAATTGAAGCATATAAATTATAAAAGAATATAGTCATCTTACTTTTAACAATCTCAAGTGGATGTGTTAAAACATGTTTTTAAACAGATCAAGTACAAGCACTATATAGGGGTGAGCGGTTCTAGGTACCCTGTATTTTTCTGGAGAACCAGAACCAGAACTGCACAATGTAGGTTCCCACAAAAAGGAACCAGAACCAAAACCGCACAGTACAAGTTCTTACATTCAAGGAACTGGAACCTAAAATGCAGGTTCCAGTTCATTTCCCGAGTATCCTGTAAAAAATCAATCACCTTCCTATTAGTTTAAAAAATGACAAAAATACCTTAAAAGTTTATAAATACACCCCAAACAAATTTTGATTACTCATTCATTTGTGTCCAATGTAACTCATAAATCCTCTAATCTCTAGGTAACACTTGAATTCAATCAATTCATCACAATTTACATAAAATTTCTCAGTCAAAACCAAGACACAAATAATTATTCGTTTGTAGATTGTTAATTTAATGTTATAATTATTAATGTTTATAATGTAATATTATAATATTATAATTAATTAAGTAATTATTTAATTATAATATAATGTTATAATTAATTAAGTAATCATACGATACATGTATAAAATAATGTTATAATTAATTAAATTTCTAATTATTTAATTAAATATTGTACTAATGTTTATAATATAATATTATAATTAATTAAGTAATCATATTATAAATTTGAGTAATATTATGCTTACTCACGATCTTACTAACCATCTTACTATCCTTTGTAAATATAACACATAGTACAGGTATTATACGCATAGTACATGTACCATATGTAATTTTAACAAAGGTAGTAAAGCGGTTAGTAAACTCGTGAGTAAACATAGCATTATTGTATAAATTTATAATATAATGTTACAATTAATTAGATTTTTTAACAATTTAATTAATGTACTAATGACTAATATAGTAAATTAATAATGTTTATAATGTAATATTATAAATTTATAACTAATTAAGTAATCATTTAACTATGTAATGCTATAATTAATTAAATGATCATAATATAATGTAATGTAATGATGTTATAATTAATTACGTAATAATTTAATTAAGTAATCATTTGTTTATAATGTAATGTCACAATTAATTAAGTAATCGTACTGTAAATTTATAATGTAATGTTATAATTAATTAAATTTCTAATAATTTAATTAAGTATTGTGCTAATGGTTAT